CCACTGCGCGCAAGACGGTGTCTCGTTCCGGAAATTCCCCTGGTCGTAAAATTCATCTGAAACAAAAAATGTCATGCGTTTCTTGTTCGGTAGGATTGTCATTGTGGAATAGACTAGAATAAACTAATTCGGTTAAAATTTTACAAAATGGCGGCAGTTCAAAATTTTTTTTTATTTTTACCTATTTTTTTCGTTACTTTTTTCGCGATTAAAAAAAAAGTATGTTATATATCGACATGATTGTAGTCTATTCCATGGAGAAAACAATTACGCGTATTTAAAAAAAAAACATTAAGATTCATTAAAAATTCGCTGAGTTATCACTTTCGGAAGGATGAAAAAAGTGGTTTCGAGAAAACGCGTTTAAAGTTTTCAGTTTGGTTTTCTCGATGTAAATGTTAAAATCGGGATACTTACAGCTAATCATCTATTCCAGGCCCATACAGCAGTCCTTCGGCTTCTTCAAAATTTAGTTGTTCATGGAGTTTTTCGTTTTTTCGTAGCGTTCTTTCCTCCATTGAAGCAAATGCCACGTACCCGTGGGAGACGCTCGATGCGTGCTTCCGCACGGGTCGACTCAATGACTCATAACTTTTGAATCGTAACGAATATCGATTTGCCCTTTTAGCACAACATTCTAGACAGTTATAGCTATCGAAATCCGCAAAAAAAATTTCGATTTTTTTGACCCAACAAACGAGACTGGACCCTTAAGTTAAATCTTAAGTTTTATCTCAATTATGTTTTTTAAATAAAATAGCTTTCTAGATGGATAAAAGACTTTCGATTGCCTTTTCTTCGATCGATAATGAATGTTCTCTATATAATAATTAGCGTCATAATGCTTATAAAGCCACCACAAAGAATCGCCGAAATTGGGATGACGTTAAACAAATAAACCGGCTTGAAAATCTTGTCTTCCGCCAACTGCGATGAATATGTCTCCTTCAGACGCATTATCATACCGTCCAAAAATTTCTGCAAACTGGTAAACGCAATATTTTTATGGCCAAAGGAAAGGTTAAATGTGCAAAAAGGATTTCGTGACAGATATATCTACTATGATAATTTATCACGCCTGTATATGGATTATCCTTGGAGAGCATCATTGCTAAATTGGTCATCCTCTCAGTAGTAATACTCGATAACTTACAGGGTATCTTTTTTTCTATGCATTTCTTTTGAACACTCATAACGCCATAAAGGCAACAGGAGAACTAAGCGCCCGTCGTAATTCCTTAAACGAGTTGTCACACTGCTTATTCCAAACAAATCTTGCTTAATTCTCAGTCAGCTTATAAGGCGGTTTTGCGAACGAAGAAAATCCTTTAACAAACTTTCGGTAATAAGAACATAGATCCAAAAAGCTTCGTAGATGCTTCTTGTTTCGTGGGATTGACCAATTGGCTATGGCAGCAATTTTCTCATCATCCGTAGAAATTCCATCAGATGAAATTACATACCTCAAATATTTTACCTTTCGTCCAAAAAGATCATATTTTTTTGGATTGATTTTTAGATATACTTCTCGCATTCGTAAGAATATCTTTTTTAAATTTCCTATCATTTCTACGAAACTTTCACTAAAAATAATCACATCGTCAAGATAGACTAAACAAATTTTTGAAAGTAACTCCTGGAGAATTTGTTTTATTAGTCGCTCGAACGTCGCAGGAGTATTACACAAACCAATGGCATTACTCTAAACTGCCATAACCAATTTCCGATCGAAAATACTGTTTTCTCTTTATCTTTTGGTCAAATTTTAACTTGCCTGTACCTACTTTTTAGATCTAACGTGAAATACCAAGAGTTACTTGAAAGTTGATCGAAGATATCATCTACTCTGAGTAAAGGATAAGAATCCTTCTTAGTAACAGCATTTAACTTGCGATAATCGTTCAATATCCAAGCCTAACGAGGCAATACTCTTCCCAAATTTTTCTCTCCTCCTATTTGTGAACTGCGAATAATAACTTTGCAATGATTGCATTTCCCCGAAACGCATCTCAAGTTTCGACATCAATTCCTCGAATTGCAAATTTTGCATATTTTCCAAGATTGCACGTTCTCTACTACGCAAGCACGAAACCAGAATAGTGGTCTTCGTCTCGTCTGCCCAACGGTTCGCTCGGGCGATTACTAGCGTTTTCGAATGGAGTGGGTTTGAACTCGACCCGGATCGGTTAACCCGTGTTTGACCCAAAAATATCATGATCTTGTCCAATCAGAAATCGAAATAGAGCACGTGACGTCATTGATCCGACCCGGGTCAGGTTCAAACCCACTCCATTCGAAAACGCTATAGGTTGAATTGCGCGATATATTCGCGTAAAGGCGCGTTCCTCTCATGGTATCAGGTTTAAACTTGACGCCCATCTGACCACGAAATGCCTCAGACGTAGGGGAATGTCGTCAGGGTTGGGACACCTTTTGACTTTGCTGTATAACTTTTGTTTAAATTAGAAATTTCTCGATTTTGTCGTCTTATTTCAAAGTTAGGATGATTATAAGAAAGTTTCACGTTGGACGAATCAACGCGCACCATTGAAAAAAAAAATTATAGACAAATTAAAAAAACAAAAAATGTAGTCAGGGTTGGGACTTGCTGTCAGGGTTGGGACATTGTAGAATATCGGCTAAATATATGCTAAAATAATTTTTTACGAACAAATATGGAATCCATCTTTCTGTTTTATTCAATTATACTTAAATTATACTTAAATTGACGCGAAATCTTCCCGAAAACGTTATTCTGATTCGCTCGATCAGACGTTCGCTTGTAGCGAGAAGTTCTGAAAACAAACAATTTTTATATAATTTTTATATAATTTTTATATAGGTGATAACCTATATAAGATACCAAACCTTGCAACCGAGTGCATTTTTCTCCATATATACATATAACTAGCTATAAAAAGAAATAAACAAACAGTTTAGGGAATGAACTTTTCCCTTCGGGAAATTATTGATGGTCAACCACATAATAGAAATATATACTTACTTCGGCATTAGCATATTTTCCGTCCAAATTTCAAGACCTTCTTTACGGACACTACAAAACTTTTTGATATGCCGAAAATTGAATTAAAGCACAAATCTTATTATAACCTCTCTTTGACACGAGCAATGCTCTGAAAAGTTTACTGTTACCGAGAGTAGTAATGTCACGCTTTGACATTGGTGGCGCTAAGTGTCTCGGAAAAAATATAGCAGTGTCCCAACCCTAACAGCGTCTCAACCCTGACGACATTCCCCTATATTAATTCGCCGCTGTGATTTTAATTCTTTATGGATACTCAATATGAATTCTGATTAATTATCTAATTCACGTGACCAACAGTTATTTTAGTTCCTTATTATGATACATTTAAAAATTTATTTTATTAAAAAAAATTATTACTTAAAAGGTAAAGAAACAAGTATTATACTTAAAAATTGTTAATTATGAACAAGAATTATTTTTGCTGCAATCAGGAAATCTGTAATGAAATCCAAGAAGTATCATAGTGGATAACGTGTTTTTTCTGACGATGTTCTAAAATGTTTTTAAACAGAAGCAAAATAATGACTTTTGGTAATTGATTTTTGTCAACTTCGGATTAATCCTTCTTAAGAATCAATATTATTGTTCCATGCGATTGCACATTTCTTTCGCTCATATTTTCCATTCTAAAATCACGAGAGCAATAATACATTCGCTGAAATAAATATTATGGAAACAATCGGCACTACTTACTTTCATTCGTGTATGTTTTACTCAACACGTAGAATCGCTAGTGATCCTCTGCTACCATAGAATGCTGCTTAATATGATTGGTTCCTGTTCTTATTCTTCAGTGGACTAAATGTAGAAACCAATTAAAATAAAGAACCATTGAACATGCACACTGAGCTGCTATTTTTCTAGGAGCTTTCCAGCGAGAGACACAAATTGACACAAGAGTGATCCTGTCCTTGTTCGATAATCAATAAGAAACAAAAATAGAATGGTTTTTGTGTCGATTTGTATCTCTGCTGAAAAGCTCTCTTTGAACACAGCTTATGACATGTGCTAATTATAACTGAGAGTCATTAAAATTCCCTACTGACAATACATCTCATTGGTTAATCGATTTAATTCCTGGATTTAGTCGACATGCAATTGAATAACGTGCATACAACGAAAACTCATTTCTAATCAATCAAAAACTTCTGTTGACACAATTATTTTTATTTATTAACAATACAATTAATGATAATCATGTGCTGTAAATTACCAAGCTTGGTCAATAAAAAGTCTGTAGCCAAAAATTGATAAGAAGATATATTGTAGTTATGGATATTATCGGTCAGCATCGATCCGTCTCGGCGAAACATATACTTCATCCGTTTTCTGTCAACCTTTGGTTGGCAGCAGTCGATCATAAAAACGCATATTTCCTTCGTTTCTTGCCAACCTTCGATTGGCATTAGTCGGTCATAAAAATATTAGATATTAAATTAAATAATCGATAAGAGAATTTAATTGTGTGCCCGGTATAAAAAAATCTCTAAAATTCTTAAAAAAGTATATTTTAAAAAGAAAATTAGACGAAAGCTGGAATATGCATCTTATAAAAACTTTTAAAAAATCTTCAGAATTATTAGAAAGACATATTAGATGAGAGGAAAGTAAGGGGATGAGCATAATAGCAGGAATAAGAAATAATGATTTCAACCTATCAGAAATCATTCCGATGTATCCGATTTCTGATAGGTTACAATCGTTTATTCTTTATTCCTAATTTCTTATTCCTTCTATTGTGCGCAGGGCCTTAGTGACAAGGTAAATTGGCAAGCTCGTCTTATTAGAACCACAAAAGATCGTCCTTGTTACAGGAGATTACGTATAGCCAAGAGGTGGCAGATATAGATACAGGAAGCAAGTATAATTGAGCATTTTAAAATCAAATGTATATTTATTGGTCATCGTGAAAAGCGAGAATTTAGTGCATATCAAACGGAGTAGCAATTCTTATTTTTAGAACATTTCCAACAATCTCCAGCCAAATATGCAATCCGAATAACTTTGGCGATTTTTCGGATATTTCGAGAGAATCCCGTTTTTAACCACGAAATATGTCTTTATAATCTTTCGAGTATATCCATCATTATAAAATTCTTACTATTTAATTATAATCTAATATAAAAATACTATTAATTCAGTTATAATTATTATGTTATTAATTATATTTGTATAAGCGAGATATAAGCACGCAATCCGAAGCAACATTTTGCGAAAAAGTAAAATAATAGTAAATTAAAATTACCTGTTTAAGAAATTTGTTCTTTCCAAAATATAAATATAACTTGAAATAGTTTGTTAAATTTGTTAAATAAATTGATACGCAGATATTATTACAAGTATTGTTTTACAGACAATAAATCCCTACAGCATTTATAACTATTTTTTATATATATTTTGACTAATAGTCAATCGATTTTTTATAAAATTCTTCAAGTCTTAGTTCTTTCCGCAATTCATTTCTCACGTTAAGATTGTAAGTGAATTTTGTAATGGATTCATTATTCTTAGAGTTTGGAGATTTAAATGAATAATATACTTTCTCAATTATCAAAATAAATAATGACAGGACTGTGCTGCCTGCTACAATTGTTAAAATCGGCGTTACATCGGTTATATCGACTATAAAATTACCAATAAGGCCCTTCGTTGGCATTTTTAAGGGATTCTTGTTTTGTAATTTATTTATAACACCGTTAAGTTGAAATCGCCTCAAGCTGAAAATTGAAAAAATATTTAAAACGTTTATTTTTTATAAGATAAATTTACAAATAAATATGTATACTTAGGACTTACTGGTAATTTATAAAGCCAGTGTAAGGACTCCCTTTCTTTAAAGTTATTGCATTATTATCGATTCTTCCGGTATCAATATATACCAGCTCACACTGTATATAAATGCTCATATAGTTTTTGAATACTTCCGTCGTCAAAAATACCAAGTCCATTCGCTCGCAAATCTATGTGAAAATTGGCGTGAATCAACTTAGAAATTTAACCCGTTAATATCATTAATTAAGTGGCATTGCTAACTTTCTTGAATCCCTCAGACAAATTAAACGGTAAATAATCCTTATCTTCCCGCGATTCGTACATTTTCAGTAATAAGGGGTCCTTGCTATACTGCAAAATTTACAAAATTATAAT